ATCCCATTCGCATAAGAAACACGGATACTTAGTATTACCACTTTGTTGCTCTAATATAATGGATATAATTTTCAGGTCTCCACACAATAACCAATTGTGCTTATCATATTGTAATTTTAACAACACAAATTGAAGATTTGTACATTCTTCTTTTAAAACAATTGAATGCGCTATTGGAATAGGAGCATACACATTACCATTATGTAACAAAACTGCCTTCAAACTTCTTGTTGAAGAATCAAGAAAAAGTCGTCATTCATTGGCATTATAAGTTATTCCAAATTCTTCAACTAAAGCTTGGACATTATTGCAGTAAACTAAATTGTTATCTTTAGAAAAAAATGTTCTGAATGGTTCATCTCCTGTGCAATAAAATGTCACTTTCATTTTACGGGACAAGCAATTTTTTTCTGAATAATTTAATCTGAATGCTAACAACTCTGCATTTTCTTTCGAAAGTCCTAAGTCTGGGATCAAAGAACTTAATTCATGCTGATTGAAAGTGCTTTTTGATAGCTGTTCATCCTGTAAAGATTCCTTGTTTTCAAATTCATCGGTATCTTCAGATTGCCTACTATTTGCTAGTGAGCCAATATCCTGGTTAGCCAAGATAAAGAAAGTGACGGATCGAACATCAGGATATTGTATAGAGTTTTTATTTCTTTTGTTGTAGCCCACTGTTTTACACAAACAAAAATAACAATATGTGCTATGATTAAGAGGTTCTCTCCAAAACATTGGACTTAGAATCCATTTTTCATAAGTTGCATCTTTAGCTAAATTGGAAAGATACATGTGACATTTGTTACATATGATTTTTGGAGCCCATATGTAGTCAAGAGTGTTGAATGGTATATTAAAACATTTTTCATAATTTTCTTCTACGTTAGTTGTGAAACTCCTTCTTTGTTCGGGAATCACATATTTTCCGCAAACAATGCAGAAAGTATCTCTTCCTTTACAAATGGACATTTCTGCAGAGTACTTAATACGCCTCGAAAAAAATGATCGGAAAATAAGAAAAAAAACTATTTGATAAATGTTAAGTTTAGAATATTGCGATTTATAAAATACTTACCAAAATCAGTCTTAGATATATTCAAGTATAGTGAATGTTCAGAACTTGTTTTATCACAATGGGTTTTTTAGGGATGAAAATGTTTGAGATTTGAAAAAATCTGAAATTAAACCTACGGAGATGGAAACTTGAGAGTTCAGTTCTTGGTCGACATATGATGGTTAAAAGTGAAGAAATTTGAGACTTTAAAGTTATGAAATTAGATTTTAGGATTTGTGAATACTGTATCTGAAGGGCGGATGAAGGTATAATCAGGGCTTACGTAAACGAACGACGATAGGTCACGTTTGGAAATATATTGAAGCCCTTTAACTAATTAATGGTCCTATTTTTATTAGTACGTGATTGAAATTCATCATTCCGCGTAAATAAGGGCAATGACTTTCAGATGACCTTGAACCTGAGTTGATGAGGTCAAACGGAGATCAGTATCGGTATTAGTTCGTTAAAATATATGAAATATGGTAAAGTATGGATAGTTTCATCTTTTCTGCCTGTACTGTACTCTCAGCATTTGACTTTCATATGACCTTCAAGTATCATTTTGAAAAAAGTATACTAGCTTATCTGACTATAAATTGACCGCTCTTTCCGAAGCTAAAGTCAAAAATTAGATTGATCGTAAAATAAAAATTGAACCTTCAAATGACCTTGAGCCTGACGTGCTGGAGTCAAACGGAGGTTAGATTCGGATTCAGCGCATCCAAGAACATAAAGCTATGGAAGTGGTTTCTTTGTCTTTTTTAGGTTGCATTTTGTGGTCCTGTGTAATTATTCCATTAACTCGTACAAAAGTAGAGACGACACTGATTTACGCGTCGTTCTTTGTGGCCCCTGCCTTCGCTCGTGCGGAAGAACGCACGGAGGCACGGTACAACAACAACTTATAGAGGCGACGAAGGATGGATTCCGCTGTGATTGCCGTGCTCGCGGATGATCGTAAGTATTTCGCCATCGTATCCCAGACTTACGAATGAACAGAGAGAGAAAGACAACCTAACCTGAAGAAGGCTGCAGTTGATGCTGCAGAACTGAACTGTAGAACGGAACCAGAACTGATGCTGCAGTTGCTGGCAGGTAAGTAACAGGCTGGCTCGAAGTCTGCGTGCGCTGGATGATAATCTTTCCTCATCACTCTATGCCCGGGATCATCCTTGTTCTTGGATCTTACAGCTCTGGGAACCGATTATGTGCGAACACAGTAAAATGAATATTTTGTCTAAAATATTTTATATCTAAAATATGAATTTTTTAATTTTCTTTTATCATTAGACTCGGCTTATTTAAAAGATTTTTGAACGAGTTTTCAAATCTTGTAGATTTCTTTGAGCTCCGACTATTTTTCGTCGACAAATAAAACTTTGATCATCTCATAATATTTAGATTAGGTGGGTAAAAACACGTTCAGGGAAGTGTAAGTCTACTGCTAAGTTTATGCGAATAATAGCCTAAAACAATCATTCAGTAATGTTATCGTAGGGTTAACAAATTTATTCACTATTGATAGTGATAATAGTCCCTAACATTAAAATAATATCGCGCGACGTATTATTTAAAAGTTAATAATATATCGTGAATTAATGTAAAATGACGCCGTGGTCTAGCTTGTAAAAGAACAATATAAGAATTGGGCACAATTAACTATTTTAACAATATTCTTCAGTGAAACTTTAAGCTCGTCATTTATTCACATAGTGCTCGGGAACACTGGACGCCACGTTTAACCGCTTGTATAATGTTATTCTAGTACTTGATTGCTTCAAAGACTTGTATACTCTTGGCGTAGATGTTTCCAAGTTTTGGATAGGTAGTGCTCAATAAATAAACTGTCAGCAACTAAATTCACAAAGGCGTACTATTGACAATTGTGCTTTTGTATTAACCTAATTGGTAACTTATCCTTTATGTGGTATGCCACGTTTATGAATAGTATGATTTTTGGCTGAATAAGCGACCAGTAGAGCCTAATGTGTCCATTCTACTAGATTCTGACTTTATTAGATTCTATGTAGCTAGGAAGATTCCTCGCATGTATATCACTTATTGACCTATAAAGTATCTTCTGAATACGAGTAAGCCGCAGCACTGTAGCTTAAGATATCAATGTCTATGAATACGAAGTCTGTCCCAAAATTATCCGACCTATTTCGATTTCTCGGCGCTTCATTTAATCTTCGTGATCTTCCAAAGTATTTTTCAAAGTCCCCATTTAATTGAATAAGACGCTCGTATCAATGTTTCCATTTATTAAAACCCTCTTGAAAATCAATCTTCGGAATCGCTTTTAGTGCATTCGTCGCACTAGTTTCAGCAGTCTCTTTATCGTCGAATTGATGTCCCTTAAGCGGTATTTTCAATCGAGGAAACGACCAAAAGTTGCACAGAGCTATATTGGGACCGTATGGAAATTGGCAGTGTTGCGCAACACTGTGTTTTAATAACTACTGCTGCACAAAGTTTGATACGTACGCCAAAGCATTATCGTGATTAATGAAGAAGCCATTCACAGGTTTCCCAAAGTTGCAGTTATTTCCTCCTGATTGCATCACGTAGTACTTTTTGTCGATTGTCTGGCCTGTAGGAGCATATTCGTAGTGCACAACGCCCTTATAATAAAAAAAAACAGACCAGAACGAGGATCACTGTTAACAGATGTGCGATCACTTTTGAACCGTCTATACCACTCTTTTATTTATGTTTTGCCCATACACTCATCTTTAAAGATCTTTTGCAACATTATAATAGTTTTCATACAACTATTACCGAGATTAAAGTAAAATTTTGTGCAAATTCACTGTTCGGTTCGTTCTGCTATTTTTAGCAATAAACGAATTATGACGAACGCAAAAAGGTTGTTGTAAACAAATACATGTTGCGCGGGAAAAAGGTGTTTCATCAGTATCTCGGACTATTGATGAGAGGGGTTAGGAGTTGTTAGTAACGTTCGTTCCCTCCATAAAATGTTAACGTGAACAGAAAATGTGTAACGAACCGTTACATTTCCTGAATAATATTTTGATTTAATTCTGTAAACAAATAATTCTTGAATTTAAATGTTTTAGAGAATGTAAGTTAATAATGCAATGACTTATTTCCTTTTGTAAAAAGTGGTGATCACGACAGAAATTTTGTGCCCTACATTTCATATAAAACTTCATGTGTATAACTACTTAAATCTTATGTTGGATTTTAAGTGTTACCCTACCTGGATTGTTTTAATTAGGAAGATATTTAGCATCAACATTTTTGTTCGATCTTTTCTTTATATCGCAATATCTGATCAATAATAATATTTGTTAGAAATTATATTTATCGCCCAACCTAAGCACCGGAAATATATTGATAAAAGTTTCTTCATCAAGTAGCATTATTTTCAAACTAATAGTATCACATGTCAAATAGAAAAATGCATATTTTGAATATTAGAGCCTGTATATTGTCTTAAAAACACAAAAATTTGTTATGACAATTGAATCATAACTAATAATTTTAAGGAAAAAATCGAAAAATAAGTTTTTTGAGAAAATGACAAATGACTTTCGAATATTTGCAAGGTGTTGATTGTCTAGTGCCCAAATGACTAAAAAATATCTGCTAAAAAATATCTAGTGCATAGGATATTATGAATTCTATCCTTATTTGGAAAGTATTTATCGAAAAATTCATACTTTTTAAATCTTTTCCTTTCAGTAAAGTTACATGCACTTACTTGTGATTTAGTTATCACACAAAACGAAAACTTATGTTTGATAAATAAGATAATAATTTCAAAAGTTAAAAGGTGTCCTTTTCTCTTTGATTCGAAATTTTGATGATTTAACGCTAATAAATAATATAATCGAATATTTGAAAAACATATTTTCATCAACTGTTTCATTTTGACCTAATCTTAATGAAATAAAGTTTGTATTTTATGTTTTAGGTATTTATGTCGTATAGAAGAAATGAGACAATCATTGAGAATTATCGAGCAATGTTTAAATAATATGCCAAGTGGTGAGATAAGAACAGATGATGCTAAAGTTGCACCACCAAGTAGAAAAGAAATGAAAACAAGTATGGAAGCTTTAATTCATCATTTTAAGTTATTCACTCAAGGTTTTCAAGTTCCACCTGGCTCTACGTATACTTGCGTAGAAGCACCCAAAGGAGAATTCGGTGTTTATTTGGTTAGTGATGGTGGTTCCAAACCATATCGATGTAAAATCAAAGCACCTGGATTCGCTCATCTTGCTGCTTTACAGATGATGGGACCAGGTCACATGTTGGCTGATATTGTAGCGATTATTGGTACATTGGATGTTGTATTTGGTGAAATAGATCGGTAGATTATCTCTATGCATTGTAAATAGTGGACTCTGTATAATATTTCAAATAAAATAATATAAAAAAATAAATAAACTTTCTTCAATATTTTTTTATTATGTACAATTACACTCTGGCATAAATCATTTTTTTAATCTCTATTTTTATTTTTTTACTAATTATCTAGAGCGCTATCATAGAATATTATAATGTTATTATATGTTAGTGATCGAAAGTAAACTATATAAAAATAGAATACAAAAACCACACGAATTATCTTGGTCTGTGGGAAAGATTTTCAAATATTCCTAAAATTTTTCAATAATATCTTTTAGTATCTGATAACTTTTTTAGTGCATTCTCGGATGACAACAGAAATTCCTAAGACGATCAACCAGCTAAACCTCCCCTCCTCGGCTCTCGTTCAAAACATCCCACCCTGCGTACCTGTATTAAGGGATCACTCCCACGACTCACAGGTCCATCGCTTCGACGTACCGAGCGTTTGGTTCTCCATTGCGTTTTGGTCATCCCCGCTCACGCTGGTGAGTATCCGTCATTCGAAAAAGTTGTTTCCCGGTTTTCGCCCTGATTTCAGATTTCGCTTTCCATGGAATGGCTTTTATGACTCGCTGATACTGAGGTTTGCTCTTTCGATTTAATATTTTTGACTTTTGGGTTGGGGGCGGGGTTTCGTCTAGCCGACAAGACGATTCCCCAGGCAGTTTTCAGTATTTGTGCCAGTCATGCCCTTCATTCTAATCGGGTTCCGAAATCAGGCTCAATCGGGTATTCTAACTAGCGTTCGAATTATTGAACTTCAAAATTTTATTCTAAAGTTCAATGTACAAAAATTATCTTCAAAATTCAAGCTTTATTAGCTATTCAAAGTTCAAAAATTAGTCATTGTGCGAGTTTTGTCCTCTAGCGTCTTTCTACTGTAGTTAGTAACTACTTTTCTGCGCTTTCTCTTTGTTATAGGTGCTCCTTCCCTAGGCTCTATGGTTTTTCTAGCAAAGTCTTCAAAGACTTTGTAGATTTTCCTGCTACATATTAGGGTTGTTTCAAGGCAAGACCATGTCCCCTTCCTTTAACAGCGTCTATTAATGGCTTTCTTAGTTCCCTTAATTCTTCGCAGTTAAAGAGAATATGGCTTTCGCTTTCTATTTCTCCACAATTACACAGTTGGTCTTCGCATAATCCTCTTTTATGGAGGTATGACTTAAAAGCACCGTGTTCCGTCATTAACTGTACTGTATAGTGATTGGGATGTAGCCATCTCTTCTTTAATCTGTCCTTGATTACTGGGAAATAGCAGTACGTTCTTCTGCTATTTGTGGCTGACTGCCATCTCTCCTGCCATACTCTTTCGATTTCATCGTTGATGAGTTGTATGGCTTTCGAGATTTTTAGTCTGCCAGATCGAAGTTCCTCCGAGTCTATTCGGATGCCGTGCAACGTTATAGATTTCCCTTTTCTGACGCAGTACTTCGCAACTCTCCCGTCGAGCTCGAAAGCTGCTGGTCGGGTGGCTGCAAGCACGTGCGCCGCTTCATGAGAGACCGATTTGTAGGCTTTCAGTGTCTTGCAAAGAACTAATCGCTGCAATCTTTCTAAAGCAGATTGCTGTTTGATGTTTATTCTTTGCCACCAGCCCGCAGAGGCGTATGTAACTTTCGATAGTAAGAAGCCATTGTATATCTTTTTCATAGAATTGAATTTTAGGCCCCAGTTCGCTTTTGCTATTTTACTTAGCTCGAAGTAGGTGTTGCTGCAGTCTTGAACCACGTTTCGAATGTGTTCTTCCAATCGGAAGCCCTTCGAAAGTGTGATTCCTAGGTACTTGACTGTTTTATGCGTTCTAATGTTGCCTTTCCCAATTTTGACTATAGGGCTCCTATTCTCGCTTAGTTGGCCTTTTAGCCATATTGGTGCTGATTTTTGTACTGCCAAATTCATTATGTCGGACTTGCACCAATCCGTCATTATATTAATGATTTCTTGGGCTTGTCTTTTAAAACCAATGCGTGTCGTCGCCTTAATGATGGGAAGCACATCGTCTGCATAGGCTAGTACCTCGTATCCTGCATCCTTGATTGCCCGAAGTAGTTTGTCAAAGATGACATTCTAACCTACCGGTCCAAAGACTGAAGCCTGAGGGCACCCCTTCGTTACTGGTTTTAGTGTTTCTTCTAAGTAAGCATATATGCCCACCTCTCGATCACTGAAGTAACTCTGGAGGAGCTTGTAGATGTTCTTCGGGCAATTTCTTTCTTTTAATTGAGAGAGCAGGCTTGGCTTGAGACGTCTAGTGGAATAGTGGCTACGTACTTGATCGACGGATTAGATTCTGCCTCTTCTACTATTTCATATAGTCTTCTAATGGCATCCTCTGTGGATCTATTTGCTTTAAAGCCAAATTGATCCTCCGAAGATCAGTCCAAGCTGCTTAGAATGTTGGATATTCTTTGAATCACAAGCGTTTCGAGTGTCTTCCTAGCTATGGGGAGTCGACATACGGATCTATATGATTTAATCTCGTTCTCAGATTTCTCAACTCCTTTGAGCAACGTGATTAGCATTCCACTTTTCCATCTTCTTGGGAACACTCCGCATTTTAAGCAGGCGTTGAAAAGTCGCGTCAGTTCCTGGTGTAATGGTTTTGCATCAACAAGCATTTCTGACTCTATTTTATCTTTGCCTGGTGATTTCCCTGCCTTATTCGCTTTAAGGGCCATTTCAACTTCCCTTGTTAGGAAAGACGTTGCGTCGCTGGTTACTAGAACCTCCCGCATATCTCTGCGAATCTTCGCATGTGCTTCATTTTCGCAGTTTGAGTCGTCATCAGGCATTAGGCCTTCTAGTAGAGCCATGCTTGTTTCTTTCCAGTCTTTTGTTACTGAACCGTTACGGTTAACCGTGCACATCGCTTTTGAGATTTTGACTTTATTGGATGCTCGTTTGGATGGATACGCCCAAGCATTCTTATTGCTTTCAATAATGCAGAAATCTCGCCAGCTTTTGCTTTTGGCTCTTTTAATAGCCGTTGCATATTCAGAATTCATTTGACTCAATTTTTCAAGTGATCTCTGGTGGGCTTTCTTTTGCTTCCTATTCGGTCCTTCCTTGTCTTTCAGAGCGAAGATTTTGTGTTGTCATTGTATCGCTCGCTTTTTACTTCACAAGTCAGGATTCCACCAAGGTTGAGAGCGCGTTCTTCTCATTTTTGATGGAATAGAGTCCTTTGCTGCCCTTATTAAAACCTCTTCAAATTTTGAAACATATGTTTCGATGTCATCAGAGGTTTCTAAAGGGAGCTCAGATAGGTTCTCTATCTCGAATTTGCAAAGTCTCCCAAATTCCTCCCAATCAGCTTTTCTCATATTGAACCTTGGTTCTATTGTTTCTACAGTTCGTATGAGTCTGGCTGGTTGTGAGGCAAAATCCAGTTCGATCACTATGGGCCTGTGGTCACTGGTGGTCCATTCTTTCACCGTACAGCTAGCCAAGAGGTTTGATAGATTTGATGTATGCAAAGTTACATCGATATCCGTCTCTTCCCTCGTACTTCGGCACGTTGAAAGTTGGCCCTTCCTGTTGGCTACTATTAGCCCGTATCGGTCTATGAAATCTTCAATGACTATTCCATTCTTATCCTGTATATTAGACCAGATCTTTGACTTAGCGTTTGCATCCATTCCAACTAAGACTCTTTTACCTTTCAATTGCTTCAGAGTCTCAGCTAGTTTGTCAAGATAGATCTTCTTGCTGTGGCTGAACTGGCAATAGACGCTGATGAAATAAATTTCACCAAAGGCTCCGACTACCTACATACAGACACAGTAGGAGTCACACAGATTAGAAATCTTGGTAGCTGTGACCTTGTGCGGATTGTAGAGTATCGCAGCTTGAATCGCTTCGCCTTTTTCGGCTCCGTGAATGGCCGCGATACTGCCCATACCTGAAATCGTGTTATTCCAGTGGTATGGTTCTTGCACTAGTGCTACCTGTATGCCAAGATTTCTGTCTGTCATGATCTCTCCAAGCTCATCGTTGGCTACTTGCCTTTTCTTGAGGTTCAATTGTACGATCCTCAGTTTCTGGCCCAGTTCGGGGTTTTGTTGTGCGTTCGAATTAAACCTCTTAACTGGTGGGCAATCGTCTTTGGTTTCGTCTAAATTGGTTGGTTGCGAAGGAAACTGAGTTGACGCCGGAGTGTTACAGTAAAGCTGATTTCTCAACGGTCGCCTCCTGCTTACGTTTCCTCGTCTTTCTATACCTAGAATGGTTGACTATATCGTTTTCGAGGTACAATGCAATGTCTAGTTATATTTTATCTCCTTGGAATCGCTTGTGGCGTTTCTGGAGTGGGGCGTTCAGCTATTAGTTTTAGCGTGTTAACGTGTGCGTTCAAATTAAGCGAGTAGCGTTCGAGTGCGAGCAGTGAGCAGTGAGTGAGTGAGTTTGTGTGAGTGTACTTGAGCTTCGTTACTTTATCGTGTTTCTCCATGGTTTTTCCATGGCTCTATTATTTACATTGATCTACCTAGCTGTTTTCCTAGCTTTTCCTACCTTATTATTAGTTAATTTATTTTATTTTATTTTATTTTTGATTCTTGATTTAAAATTTTTAAAATCTATAGATCTCTTTCTTAATTTTAATTGGTAACTTTTTTTATTAATACTACTGCTTAAATTATTATGAACTGCTTAAAACTAATTTGATTATAATATATAACTTAAAACTACTAACGAATGTACCGGCGTGTTTGTTATCACGCTAGGCTTGAGATTAATCAAACCTGGTCTTGGTCAGGGTTAGGGGTTTTGACGGATTGCAACCAAAGTAGCGCTTGAGTGATTATATCAGGTTTTTACCTTTTCTATCATCTTAGCCTGTGTTCACGTTTAGAAGCACTGGATTTGATGGGCATTTGGTGCATGGTTTTCGCTTTCAAAGAGAGCTGACAGTCACTAATGTCGCTTTCAATTGTAAAATTGCTTTAGCTATTAGGGCTCAAACAATTCTTTAGCAGGAACGATGCTGCCTTTCTGTGGAAATAATTTTC